CCGAGGTATAAAACACTGCGTTTTTAATAATCACTTGTCGAGAGTATGTACAAAAATATAGACAGAGGCGTTGAGAAAGCCTTTCTCAGAAAGCCTCTTTCTCTCGTTGATTAAACGAGTTGAGTTACGTTGATTTAGACTATCAATTAATCGTTGATTAACAAAGAGAAGTTGCGCGTCGGTTAAGATCGCTCGCGGTGTAACGTTGAGAGGCGTTAATGTACACGAAAAGTTGAGATGCTTATTAGGCGACGTTGATTCCACGAATATTCGATTCTAACTGAAAATTGGAGGGTCCAATTCGTCGATTAATTGTCGTTGAGTTGGTGAGCGTTTTGTCATGTCTACTTTAAACAGATGCAATTAGTCTAAAAAAAAAATTCGATTTTTTCAACCCGACACATGGGATGGCCCCCTTAAGAATGATGATAATATTTACGATATGCTAGTTTTTTCATGGTCAAAAAAAATTCCCCATTTTTCTGGCCAATAAAGACGCACATGACAAAATATTAACAAAATAAAATAAACAAATTTTTTCTTATACACGGCCTCTCATGGGATTTCGTGTCAAATTTATAATTCACCCACTAACAGATTCCAAAAATAAAAAAAAAAATAGAGGACAATTTGAGAAAATAAACTGAATCCAATGGTCAAAGAAAAATTTGGAGTACCCAGACAAATAACAAAAATTTGCAAATCTTTCAATTCCATATATTCTGATGTTAGCGAATACATGTGATGCATTTAAACTTGTTGTTAACATGAAGGAAATAACCCCCTCTATCAGTTGAAAAAAAATCAAACATTTTTTTAATGCTTGCGGTTTTGTACAAACATCCTTAAAAGTTATTGACGTGCATCGGTCGGGATAAAACGACTCAATCAATAAGATCAAAGCACCTAATTCTCCGCATATCACACTCTCTGGAAGTGGCTTCAAAGTACTTAATGAGTGGCGATTGAGATTCCATAATTTATTCATAGATAACAAAATTTGAAGTAAGTCTAAACTAGAAGCAGATAATTATCTGAAGTCCCCCACAGATTTTCGAGCTCGTGCAGGTGGCTTGAGAGTCATTAACAATCAGTCATATGAATTCAACGACTCAGTCACAGAGCAGAAAATTGACAATAAGGGTAGTATGTCACAGATTTTCAAGCCGGTTTGGAGGATGTCAGAATCATTAATAAGTAGTCATACGGATTCAATGACCTAGCCATGGAGCAAAAAACTTATGAGTTTAGAATTAAAGCAGACAATTATCCAAAGTCCTCCACAGATTTTTAAGTCGGTGTGGGTGGCTTCAAAGTCATTAATATGTAGACTGAAAAATTGTTTGGATTCTCCCCAATAATTTTTCCGACACTCCTTCCAGGCTCTATCAGAAAATTTCAATTTTCCCCGGAAAAATCATTTTTTCCCCATTTTTTCTTGATAGACAATTAGCTCTTAAAAAACTTTTGGTTTTAGTGCAGTCATCGAACTGATCTAGGTAATGGCTAACTGACTTGATGTTGCAATCATGAAAATCGATTTCACGGAAAAACTATCGTAGCAGAAAATTTATTTTTTGTGCAGAAAAAAAAGCACGTAAAAAGCGGGTAATTTTGGCCTGGCTGTGGGTACGATCTGAGGACCCTGGCTGCCAACTTTACGGCGCTCTATTCTCCGATATCCACTCCATACAATACATACACCTCGCTTGCTCAATTAAGCCGCACCCATCTTATTCCAGGATATCGTGGTCAATTGTAGGGTTAAGTCCCCTTGAACCTTTCACTACCAAAATTCTCTTGCTCAGTCGCCGGGCCCTCAGTTCCGCTCGGAGCTCTTCTTCTGGCAGACAAGTTAGTGATCTAGATCTGTACGGGGTTCCATGTGTTGACGCCTGGGAGCTGGGTTCCTCTCCTGCCTCTTAACATCCCTGTATGCTCTGGGCCTCCTCGGCGTCTGATCCATTCCCTAAATGCCCATCCTGTGTGTTTATATTCCTCCTCCTCCGGTGTTGATTCCCTGAATCGGTTTCACTGTTGTGGTAGTTTTTGAATTGATCTGCCGCCTTCCAGTCTTGGTTCTGCGGCCTGTACGGTGGATTTGTTTAGGAGTCTGTACCAGTTCCTTGGGTCTCCCATATCCAGTTCCACAAGGTTGCCATGTGGCGCGAGTTCCCTGCATTTTGCTGGCTCCCAGTTGTTGTTGCAGTTATTGTTGCTGTTACTCCCTGTAGCTCTTCCGTCTTGCTTGATTCGCTTAATTCTATTCTCTGAATCGTCAGGTCTCTAGTTCTGGTATTTGGGATAGTCTGAGCAACTGTTATTTCTGTTAGCGAGTTCCTCTGCCTGTTGTTTTAAGCCTGTTATTTCATCTCTGAGTCTTTTTTCCGCGGCTTCGGCTATCAGCTTTGATCTCAGTTCCGTCTCCTCGCACCTATCTTCCAGATCTTCTGACTGCATAGAGAGTTTATGTCTCATCCTCTCCACCAGTGTTAGAATCCCTGCCTGGATCCTGTCCCATCCAATCTTGGCTGCCTCGTTCGTGCCTTTCCTCAGCAGAACCTGCCTGTTGGCGTTGTTCCCATGGGCTTCGTTCGGTGGGGTCTCCTCCTCGTTATTCTCATTTGCATCCCTGGGTATCTTTCTTCCACTTGCAATCGCAACTCTGCGGTCCTCTTGTATAGCAGTGGTTTTCCTGGTCGCTCGTGGTTTACTGTTTGATTCGGCTCCATGGGACTAAGCACTCGTCCTTTGGTGGTTTGCCTATTTGCACCTAGGGTCACCTATTTCTGAAACCCACCCAGCTGTGTTAGGGAGTCCAGGACCGACGTATAGGGGTTCCAACTGGGTGGTTCTGAAGGGCGCCGTCGATTTAAACCAGCGACCAACGACTAGGTGAAAGGACTAGCGCCCCCTGATTCCGTCGAGCTGATTGGTGGCTGTGGGGTAACGGATGACCCACAGACGCCGAGGCGTTCAGACTAGAGGGAGAAGGCCGTGGGAGATCTCGAGGCAGTCGGAGTTGATGTGATGTGTGAGTGCTGGTGTCGAGTGGGTATTTTAGGAGCTCGGCATGAGTTGGTGACAATAATCCATTGGGGTTATGATGCGTACGCGTTCCTAATCGTATATTGGGATAGCGAGAGATGACGTTTACGCGTCCCCGACTAGTGAAATGGATTGCTCTGTGGCTGCGGAACGTACGTTTTCGGCCACAGAGGTCCATCTCCAGAGTGAAATTCATGGTGTTGGGGTGGATCAAGAGTTGGGAATCAAGTTGATTCCCGTAGGCTCGATCGCACGTGCCTCCGTGAGAAGTGGCTCTGGTTTTGGCTCGCGATGAGATTGCTATCACTAAGCGGCCTCGAGTTGGGCTGGACATTAGGTGGGCGAGCAAGGTCTCCGGATGCCACTGTCGCACGTTGAGATGTTTAGCGCCTTGCGTGGTGAGAAGGATTCGCAGGTAATCTGTGTCTCGTTCCGGGTCGAGCCACCCTGGAGGAGAATGGAAGACGTATGAGGGGTGGCCAGATCCCTCCGCGAAAAACCTGGTGAGTACGTTCCCCCAATAGTCACGCGTTACGACGACACAACTGCGGCTGATGTCGGTAATCGGAGTTACTCAGTCGTTGGTGAACCTCGCCCACTCTACCGTGTCATGCTGATGCTGGTTCGGCATTGTGAGACCCGCCACTGAAAGTCCACGGAGTCGACAAACTCCTTCGCGGCTGATTTTCTTCAGGTTTTCCCTAAAAAACCTGACTGGCGCCCAATCGTGAACGATAGAGACGACATCCAAAATAGTTTTGAGGATTTAACTCGGGATGTTGACCCGGGGAAAATCCTCTTACATATGTTACACCCTGTATGCTATTGATTTTAGTGTGAAAAGTGATTTCTGATTATCACATGTGTATCTCCACAGAAAAATACTACCCTTTCATGGAAAGATGCCACGTGTAATTCAAAATTTCTTGAGTATGCATATTAAGTAAGATGTCATTGACTGGAAGAATCACAGTATAATATTTACTGCCGAGATAGGCAACCTCAGCTCTCGAAGCGACTACAGCTCCCCACCTCCATTAGGTAAAATTGTCCCAAGTCTTAAAGTTAATGGCTGCACCCCCTTCGGGCCCATGATGTTCTGAGCGTAGGCAAGAGTAGTGGGGATGTTCGGCAGAAACTTGGTGGTGGTAAAAGTAAAATGAGAAAATTTCCAATTTCTCTAATGCAAACATTTCTTTAATTATTACATTTTTTGGCGTTATTTTTTTATGATTATTGGTTTTTTTAATCGACTTTGCCAAAAGGAAACTTCTATATTTCTCGCTCTAGGTACCAAATTAAAATGCACAAACCTCTCAGAACCGAAAACATTATCAATGTCCTTTAATCTTTAGATATATTGATGCGATAATTTATTGACGCGACCACTGCAGGTCGGTCTAAACTTTTTTGAATGGAAAATCGCCGTCAAAATGTGTCGTTCACGTATTTGGACTTTTTTTTTCTGAACAAAAAATAAAGGTAAGATGGTGTTTGAATTTCAACAATTAACGTTGAAATTGAAAGTGTGATTATCGTGAACTTGAGGGAAGGAACATTGAGGTACCGAACTTTCATTACAGCCAACATTTTGGCTCATTTGTATACATAACTGGAAGTAGTTGAATATCTACTCAAAATTTTTAATCAAAAAGAGAATGTGCAAACACTTGCATTAAAATTCAAACCATTTTCTCCTCGCATTTCAGGCACGCGCATGCTTCATCTCCCGATGTTATCCCCACCATACAAATATAAGGCAACCCTTTTATTCAGGTTAGGTCCCTTATAATTGGAACCTTAATAATTTTATGACTACAGCTCCGAGTGTCCCTGAAGTCACCCACCTCTGATTTAATGTCTAATATACCATTTCTGTTACATCGTCTGGAAAATTTCATATGAAAACTTTCAAAAAATATGGTATTTATATGACTTAATTTTATCTACAGGTGACCCTTGAGAATTACTACAGTAATTTAATTGTGCAGCATATCGAGCGAAAGCAAAGGTTAGCTAAGCTGGAGGAATCACTGAAAGACGAGGGTCTGTCTGAACAGCAGAAGCAGGAAAAAAGACTACAACATGCTCAGAAAGAAACGGAGTTTCTGCGCTTGAAACGTTCCAGACTAGGTGTTGAAGATTTCGAACCACTCAAGGTCATAGGTCGTGGTGCTTTCGGCGAGGTAGGATTATACCTTGTTGTTATTTCTATGCTATTTTCTGTCGGAAGCTTCGTGAGGCATTGAATAATATGTGATTTTTCTGCAGCCCTAGTCAATACTCTGCAATAATATCTCAAGAGTTCCAAAATTATAGGATATTTTTCAATAGCTTCGTTGCAAACAAATGAGGGTGTCTAGTTTTGGAGGGCTAAAAATTCCGAGTACTCGAGCGGGAAATTTTCCTGTTAAATGTGATATAATCGTTTGTTTGAAGGGAAGCTTGAGGGACTTACCCGATTAATTTTGAGCCTCGACTGATATTTGTCGGATTATTTCTACGTCGAAATTTCGACCAACCAAAACGGCGCATTTGATCTATGTAGAAAGCAACTGAATGTATTCAGTTTTGTGAAGAACTTTTTCACCGATTTGTTGATCACGAGTTTGTAAGAAATCTTCCCCAAATCGATTCATTTTTCGGATTTGGTTCATTCACATGATCAAAGTTTGGCAGTCACGGAGTTTCATCAATCCATTTTAATTGTTTACACAATAAATTCCTTACTTAGCAACTACTTAGGGAATATCCGAAAGGTACTCCAAATAATACCCATCAACTTCGCCTGAATTACAATAAATGCGTCGTCTCTATTGGTAAAAAATCCGACATGGGGAATAATCAACTAAATCCTAGCCTATTTTCTCGAAATCCTTAAATACGGCTGAATGATCGCTTTCCTTCCTGCACACTCCCTAATTCCGAAAGGAGAATACCGTACTCCCGGAGGCAAATCTCCAGGAACAATTAGCTCAGCGTGTCATCCAATCCTTGAACATTCTATAGGGCGCCACTCGATCTAGGCATCGCGGAATCGACAAACCACAACTGTAACTCAATCTGTAACTTAAAACTCAAATTTACTAATCATCAGTAGAATTGAGTAACGCACTGTAACACTTTTCCCCGACCTCGTCCCGAAGATCGGCGATAGTTATTGCCTTCGCCCGTTCCTGTGCTCGCTTCCTAAAATCCAACCGAATTACTGCGGGCGCCAGCTAGCTTTTTATGGGCCAAAAGCTAACGAAAACCGAAAGAACCGAAACAAAGGCAAGGAGGGGGGGGGGGGGTGCCCTGCCTTGTCCGAGGTCAGCCGACCTCATCAAACCTAAAATCTCGAAATATCCAAAAACAAGAGCACGAAAGGACAGGACGAGTGGGGTTGGAACTCGTCCTCGCGACAACACAAAATCCGTAAATCCATAAATCCAAAAACCGGGGCGTCCGTACTCCCAAAACTAGAACGATAACGATAACACAAAAACTACCCGCGAGAAGCTAGAAGCCGATGACGAATGGAACGGAAGCGGGAAGACCTGGGTTGCTCAGGATGCTAGGTCGTGGAGAGAGGGCCAGGGTCCACGGATACACGACTCTAATAACCGAAATCTAGACCGAAAAATGATACAGAGAACAGATCGTGGTTCGGCATACCGAGAGCATACTTGCGGGGTTCGGAGACACTGAGGGCGACCTCTGAGAACACCTCGCCGAGAGAGCGACGTAAGATAGCGGAGTGCCGGGAGGCCGAGAGCGTGGGGATTACTCACCCAAAAGCACACTATCGAGAGCGTGCCGGGCCCACTAGGGTAGCCCCAAATGTAGAGAGCCTAACTGGGGAGAGGATGGCTCTCACCCAGAGAACATCACCAGGAAGAACATGGCCCTCACCTAGAGAACACCACCCGAGGAGGGTATTGCCCTCACTCAGAGAGTGATCCCGGGGAGAGGATGATTCTCACCTAGAGAGCGTACAAGACCAATGCTGGGCATTGGGAGCCAGCTAAGGGCTCGAGAGAGAGCTGCCAGTGGTCCGCACTGGGAGCCAGCTGAAGCGGCTCTGCCGAGTGAGTGGGCAGAGTCAGCAGTAGTGCCGATGTACCCCCACTCTCAACTACGGCTGGGTGAACTGCCGTGTGCCGGGACGTGCTGCCCTCGCCGCAGGGAGGATATCCCTGGCATTAACCTCTCCTGGAGCGCGTCGAATTCGAACGTCGCCACTGATCCCTTCGAACAACCCCTTCGAAGGATCAGCCGCTCGAATGCCCACCCCATCTAACATGGAGCGCTCATACGCCAGTATGAGTCCTCTGCTATATGCCAGCAAGTCTCGTAGAGGAGCTGGGAATGTTTCCACGTGTCTGCCCTGTGCTGTTGCCTGCCTTCAGGCCTCCTAACACCCTAAGCACTCGGGCCCCAGTCCCCACACCCTTCGACGATTCGAGTAATTCCCGGGAGGGAGTCGAGATGGCAGAAGTTTTTGAGAACTTAACCCAAAATTTAGTTTAATGTGCGGGATTTCCGAAAATCCCGTTACAGCACATACTAACTCCGAATTGCGGAATTACAAGGATACGGCATTGTTCGGTTGGTCAGTGTGTGGATTGTAGAAAGAAGAGGCCCACATCTTTGACCAAAATGTAATTTACCGAAGCCAAATTGAATACGAGAAACCGAAGCAGAATGTGAAAATTTGTAACGAAAAGAGATTCGGGTAGATGAAATTAAACTGCCCAATTGCGAAATACCTTCAAGAAAGGTCATTATCCAAAAAGAAACTCAAGACAACGGCTCAATTTTACATCTTAGAAAATCGATTACATCCAATGATCTATCAGGGAAAAATAGTAAACTGCGATTAAATTAGCCCCGAGAGGGATGACAGAGGATAGCATAGGGCTCGATCATGAAAAAGCGGGCCCAACCTTGACAATGCTTATCCATCATTCGGTAAGGCGACAGATCGATTAAGTTGCGTAATCCGATCTTTTAATAATGATCTTATTCCGTTCGCTGACAAAATCACTAACTAAATCAACGCTAGAGAAGGTAAGTGGACCCACCAGGTACCTCAATGAGTTTATTAGGTATCGGGAATGATCGCCTCGTATAAAGAATCATTAGGTAATTTATTTTCGCGGTAAGGTAGCACAATTAATCCGTTATAGCCGTCGCTTCATTATCTACACGCCTTGTAAATATCTTTCATACATCGTCGTTGCGGTAAGTTAGTGGGGGGCACTAGGCAATACGTCACACGATGTATTATCCCCACTCTGCAGATTAGATATATACGGGCATGCACAACATGCATATGTGACTACGTTCTCTCCTCTCTGGGGATTGTGAGCTGAATCCCTAGGCAGCTCTCTCACTTGCCACCTCTCATCTTCGTCCTGGGATTTGAGGAGACAACAAGGCTGGTGTCTAGCTGTAAGTTTCCTCCTTCACATTAAAGACTCACATGTGTTGCTCTCTAGTTTCGTCTCCCTTACAGGGTTAAAACGGCGTTGAAAGGGTTCGTCTCTGCCCTCTGGCCGTCGATCCAGGACATGTGTCTTGATGAATTATCTAATTATCGGGTAGTTATCTAGGTTGGTTTCAACTACACTAGTTGCTACAGCGTGATAAAAACAGTTCCAGTTCAGAACACGTATCAGTTTCAGATTTTTCTTAATTTCTTATAACAATGTCATTTGAACAAATCATTCCGGAAATTACTGGATCATCAAGAATCGTCAATCATTTTTTTCAAGAGATACCTAGTTCTGACATCAAGTTATAGTCTGTTCTTAAAAGTGATTGTTATTAAACTCGAACTTCACAAACTTGACGCGGTTTATAATTTCACTCATTTTTTTTTAATTGTTCAGAAATAACCGAGTTTAAAAAGTTTTGTATCTACTTCGACGTATTTAGCCATCCGCGGAAGAAGGGATAAATATGTAGACGCAGCTCTCGGCGACCACACAAATCGACGAAATGTTAGGTACTCCAGCTTTTTTTCAAAAACACGGCAGAAACTCACAACCAGAAATTACATAAGGACAGCGGCCGACCAGTCAGTATGTCTACCACGAAGGTGGCAGCGATCCGATTACTATCCTTTCACCATTCTGGCATGGCTGGCTTATTTCCCTATCAAGTAAATTTAAAATTACGGGGTCACAAGAAATTTAATATCGCTCAAGTTTACAAAAGGAAGAATAAAATAATTTGACTCACTCTTTTGCAATTATCACCTCGTTCTCGCTTACATTATAGAATAAGTTATTTGAGAAAAACAACAACAAATATCATCACCGACAAATTGTCATCACTACCCGAAGGTCAAATGATAAAATACTATTCAGATATGACAGTCAATATAAGTCGCAATTATTCAGGTCCAAATTTAAAGTTGATCGGTGGAATCGCTAGATAAATGGCTTCACAGGCCACGACAAATATAAGGTTGAAACCTCGAGGAAAACAACTCTCTCCTCAGAATGGCGTTCGTCGCGAAATGAAACGGAAATTGATCTTTAATGCACCGATAAGACGAAACGAGAATCAACAGTTATCTTCAAATCGAAATTTAAATTAAATTAATGAACTAGAATTCCGCAAAATTAGCACTCTCTATCGAACGTGATTATAAATCCCATGAAAATTCTGATTATCGAAAATGGTCTTTTTCGCACATGGACAACGAGTCCGAAACATTATAGAACAAAACTGATTAAGTTTTAACTTTATTTTAAGGATTAAGGATTTAAGGAAGCACTCCGAAAAATTCCACAATTCGATACATGAAGAGAAAGGAAAACAAAAAAAGACCATAAAAAGACCATAAGCTATATTTGACTCCCGCCTCGCCGTTGGTTGACATGTCATCTGGACATCTCAAAATCGAGCATCGGTCAAAAACGTTACTACGTGTTACTATTATCCATTAAATACCCTGTTTTGGATTTCTTTCAGACAACGTATCAAAATAATTCCTTGGCGTTTGTATGTACGGATTTTTCTTGCAGTTTTCTAAATATAAATTCAATAAAGGAATTAATTTTCTGCTTTTCTTACCGTCGTCGCCAAAGAGGATCAACTTAAATCTATACAAGCGTACTAGTTTTCCTACATTTTTCGTTTTTCAACTGAATTTTCGATATGCATAATTTTTCATATGTTGTTGCTCATCTTT